CAGGCCACATATGATATCAGGACAGCCCTCTTCCTAAAATTAGCACAAAAGAATTTTGTAACGAGACTTACTACATCAAAGCTCTGAAAAAACTGCTTTAACAAATTAAGACGTAAAGCATTATTACCTAAAACTTCATTTCTTTTTCTTTTTTTTAAATAAAACTCCCAAAAGTCTCGGTTTTACTTGAACGCCCTCAGGATGGTTAACACTGCAATTCCTCAACTACGCATTTTGCCAGCCACCTAGTCATCAGGTAGTTTGCGACCCCTTCGATGAGGTTAAAATCTCATCACTGACGACATCAACGACGAAATTGCGCACTTGTAAGCATATATTTTACGTCGAAACGGTGAACGTGGCATTTGGATTTTACTCTTGCTAGCCTCTCGATGGCGGACGAGGACACCGCAGCTCTGGTGATAGACAACGGCTCTGGTATGTGCAAAGCCGGCTTTGCTGGTGACGATGCTCCTCGTGCCGTCTTCCCCTCTATCGTGGGTCGTCCAAGACATCAGGTTAGTTGGATAGGTAGGCAGTGTTTCAGCCGCACCGGAACTGGTACCAACTAGTGGACCAATTTTCTCAAATAAGAGACAGAAATGGTTTGCTCTCATGCACTAAATGTATGGTGAAGAAGTCGGCTTTTCATCTAACTAGATAGGCATGATTAGTGTGGAGATCAAGTGCTCTCTTGTAGAGTCGCCATCTGAGGGCAGTCTTTCTATTTTCGCCCTGTGACAACGTACCTATTCCGAAATAATCTTTGCGCACAAAGCACTAATTTCATTAGAACATATCAATTGTGATTTACAGGAGACCTTTTGCTACCCGACAATGCTTACTTTGACTTCCCCGTCAGTGAGTTGTACAGAGAAACTCAAAAGACATATTTAAAAAATTTAGGTGTTGGCAGTCCATATCCTTCCCTATTCGTCCTGGCGTCTTGTTCTAATTCCAACAGTAATGCATACATGCTCCCTCAACACAAATTACTTCTGTCCATAATATTCAGTAGATGACAGAATCTCTTTTCTCCCTAATCGGCGACATTTATGTCCCCTTTGAATGGGTCCTTTAAGTGGTAAATTAAAGCATATTAAATTTCAGGGAGTGATGGTTGGTATGGGACAAAAAGACAGCTACGTAGGTGATGAGGCCCAGTCGAAAAGAGGCATCCTCACTCTCAAATACCCCATTGAACACGGCATCGTGACCAATTGGGATGACATGGAGAAGATCTGGCATCACACCTTCTACAACGAACTACGTGTGGCGCCTGAGGAGCATCCAGTCCTCCTCACTGAGGCTCCACTCAATCCAAAAGCCAATCGTGAGAAGATGACACAAATCATGTTTGAGACTTTCAACTGTCCGGCGATGTATGTAGCCATCCAGGCAGTGCTCTCGTTGTACGCCTCTGGTCGTACTACTGGAGTCGTACTGGACTCTGGTGACGGTGTGACCCATACTGTCCCCATCTACGAAGGTTATGCGCTTCCTCATGCCATTCTACGTCTTGACTTAGCGGGCCGAGATTTAACAGACCACCTTGTCAAGATCATGACTGAGCGTGGCTACAACTTTACTACTACAGCAGAGCGCGAAATAGCTCGCGACATAAAGGAGAAGCTCTGCTACGTAGCACTCGATTTCGAGCAGGAAATGATAACGTCAACTTCTAGTGCCATTTTGGAACGCTCTTATGAACTGCCAGATGGTCAACTGATTACCATTGGCAACGAACGCTTCCGCTGTCCTGAAGCCCTGTTCCAACCTGGTTTTCTGGGTCTAGAAGCAACTGGTATCCACGAGACGACTTACAACTCCATCATGAAGTGTGATGTGGACATTCGAAAAGACCTATATTCCAACACAGTGCTCTCGGGTGGTTCCACTATGTTCCAGGGCATTGCAGAACGTATGCAGCGGGAGATTTCGTCTCTAGCACCGACAACAGTGAAGATCAGGATTGCTGCACCACCTGAACGCAAGTACTCCGTGTGGATTGGTGGTTCCATTCTTGCTTCACTTTCCACCTTCCAGCAGATGTGGATCTCGAAGGTGGAATACGAGGAAATCGGTCCCAGTATTGTACACCGAAAATGTTTTTAACTAATCCGCGGCTCATCTTTCCTCCCATGTTATTTCGCACCGTCTGTATGGTCAGTAAATAAATGATCAAACTAAGCCTCGTTTTTGGCTTGCAAATATCCATTCTACCTGTTATTTGTTTGTTTACCGCTCAGAAAGGTGAGAATAGTCAATCGTAGCCCGCAGAAGTATGGAAAAAGTGGTGGTAGTACGGCATTGAGGTGAAGGTAGCATTTGCACGTAGTTTTGCGTTCTACTCCAGAATAGGTGAACTAGACAGCCCTAAGGCATTCACATATTATTAGCGAGAGTAGGAAATTACTTGATTAAAGTCTCAACAATACATTTAGGCACAAAATTCTTCAATTCGAGATGACAGACAACTGTAATAGTAACTGTGCATTTGAATAAACATCTGCAATCCATAGTGTGGAATCAAGTGTCATGCCAACAAAGACAACAAATCCGAACAATCTCCCAACCTACGGTCATCAGCTCCCACCCACAGACAACCTCAAACACTGGGGGAAGGTAATGATACTGACGCACTGCCATTTACCACTATGACAATGGTAACAACGATCTGACATGTTTATGTTGCAGCGTGGACACGTTTGAGGAACCATGGTATGTGGGTAAGATGGAGGTGTCACGACGGCAGACGTGGTAACTGCCTGGGTATTGTTGTCAGACCATCGTCGTCTCAGTGGACATGTCATCGAGAACAGAAAACCCACCAAAGCAAACAATGC